CTGCACAAGTCTCAAGAGTGGGGAAGGACGAGGGAGGAAGGAAGGGAAGAAGGGAAGGCAAGAGAAGGGGGAACGGTGTGTGTGGGGGAGAGGGACTGACTCACAGCGAGGAAATATGATGCAGGCGGCAGAGGCTGATTGAAGGACACTCTGAAAACAATAGTAATGGCTTCAGTTTTAACTGAGGGCAATGAGGAGTTATGTGGAATGTTTGAGCGGAGGAGGAAAGTTCACATCTTGTACCAGGAAGATCTTTCTGAAGCTAGTGCAGGGGACACACTGCAGAGGACAGGCCTCAGAATGGAGACTGGGGAGGGGATTCTGAGGCCGGAGCCAGGAGGGGCTGGGGCTGGGCCGGAGGCATCGGGCTGGCTGGGCCCTTTGCAGGCGCTACTGTCCACTCCAAGCCTCTGCTCAGCACAGCGGTCCTATGAGGTGCAGATACAGTGTTAGGCTTTTCCAGCCATGAGTTTGAACAAAATTATGCACTTAGTGAAAAAAATATACAAAAATGTTTATAATTTAAAAAATGAATTTCTTTCCTAATCTCTGCCCTTAGGAGAGTCTCTGTGATTTCCTGTGTGTCCTACCAGAAGTCTATTCTTATACCCACATATGTATGACATTGCTCTCTGTCTCTCCTAATGGGAGAGAGATCTTTCTTTCTCCAAGTATGAGTTTTGCAATGGTAGTTTTCAAATACAACAGTGATGAGAACAAGTTCTTTTTGCACTAAATGAGACATTTAGAGAAGCCTTTGCACTGAATGAGACATTCCAGCCTCTTGCTAAGATTAACCGGAGGTAGCCAACATCCGTGTACACTGACTGATGCTCATGCATATGAGTGTTTCAGAAGGACAATTGCTGAAGCAAAGAGAATTTGAGATTTCATAATTTTAATAACTATTGAAAATCTGTTCTGTCCACTGAATTAGAGAAGACGTATAGAGCGGACTATNGAGAATTAAATTTCATGCTAGTCAAATAAGAAAAAAACTGGGTTAATAGAGCAATAGAGTACAGAGCAAAGACTGTTCTATCTTGTGAATGGACAGCTGCAGGTTACACAGAATATTGTTTAATAAGCCACTGTCACCTCGGATTTCACCAGAAGATGAAAAGTAGAAAGTTAGGGTTTTTAAGCTGCTCTTTTGTTACTATTAAAGGAAATTCAAATTTTCTAATTAAAAAAAAATAGTTCTTTTTGAAACTTTCACTTTTTTCTAGTTTTCAAAGATATGATGATATTGTTCTTTCCAGAAGACATGCTGATTTCCCAAGAGCTATGAATCTAAGAGCAAATGCCAGAGACCTTTCAAAGACAGTTTGACTGCAGAAAAATTTTAAAGCTCTTTGATGGACCTTTCTAAAGTAATGTAGAATTTCTTTAGTGTTATATTTTATTGGACATTCATCTTTTCTCTTCTATGAAATGCCACTTGTGTCTTTTATGCCATGTTTCTACCTTTCCAAAAGGTCTTAAAGATTTCTTTGTATATGCTGGATGCAAATTCTTTGTCATTTCTCTATAAAACATTTTCTTCATTCTTTTTTTCAAGTCTTACAATCAAATACTTCATGGTATCTTTCGCCTTTTCATGAAATGAAATTTTGATTTTAATGTAAATAAATTCACTAAGCCTTTTCTGTATTGATCATAACTTTTGTATATTATTTAATAAATCTTCCACATCCAGAACTTACTAAAGTGTCCAGTTTGGCTAAGGTTTTGGCATCGGTAGACTTATAATTAAGGTACAGAGGCAAATATAAATGGGAAAGGAAAGGGAGCAAGAGAAGGAAAAGGGACAGTGGCAAAACGTACAGAAGTGGAAGAAAGCAAGCAACAGAGAAGGACAGAGTAAACGAACCCCAGCGGCTGTGGTCGTGAGTTCTACACCTTTACCTTTTAACCTCACCTAAATTGTCCATTTAGTTTTTGTGACTGCATCCACCTTACTGTAGAGTGCCCCCTTCTCCCTCCCTTCCCCCTGACCCCCACCCAAGTCCCTTTCCCTTTGGCAACTGTTAGTCCACTCTTGGGTTCTGTGATTCTGCTGCTGTTTTGTTCCTTCAGTTTTTCTTTGTTCTTATACTCCACAGATGAGTGAAATCATTTGGTACTTGTCTTTTTCTGCCTGGCTTATTTCACCGAGCATAATACCCTCTAGCTCCATCCATGTTGTTGCAAATGATAGGATCTGTTTTCTTCTTATGGCTGAATAATATTCCATTGTGTATATGTAGCACATCTTCTTTATCCATTCATCTACTGATGGACACTTAGGTTGCTTCCATTTCTTGGCTATTGTAAATAGTGCTGCGATAAACATAGGGGTGCATATGTCTTTTTCAAACTGGGATGCTGCATTCTTAGGGTGAATTCCTAGAAGTGGAATTCCTGGGTCAAATGGTATTTCTATTTTGAGTTTTTTGAGGAACCTCCATACTGCTTTCCACGATGGTTGAACTAGTTTACATTCCCACCAGATTTCATTCTATTTTAATGGCTAAATAATATTCCATTGAATATATATACCACCTTTTCTATATCCATTCATCCATTGATGGACACTTAGGTTGTTCCCAAATCTTGGCTATTGTAAATAATGCTGCAATGAACATGGAGGTATATACATACATATTTGAATTAGGATTTTGTTTTCTTCTGATAAATACAATTCCAGAAGTGGAATTACTGGATCATATGGTTCTTCAATTTTAGTTTTTTGAGAAACCTCCATACTGTTTTCCATAGTGGCTGCACCAGTTTACATTCCCACCAACAGTGCACAGGGTTCCCTTTCCTCCACATCCTCACCAGTATCTATTATTTGTCTTTTTTTGACACTAGCTCTTCTAATGGGTTTGAAGTGATATCTCATTGTGGTTTTGATTTGTATTTCCTGGATAGTTAATGATGCTGAGCACCTTTTCATGTACCTGTTGGCCATCTGTATGTCTTTAGAAAAATGTCTATTCAGATCCTTCCTTTGTATGTGTTGATAAGCCGTTTGTGTTCCTTTTTTATGTGAGTGGTAGCCTTTTATTCTTGCTCTTTTTCTGAAATTTCCTTTTTTCATATTTTCTTATAAAATTCTTTAAAAATTTAATTTTTTTCCTTCTTTTCTTGCAAAAGATTGCCTTTTGACTTTGAGGAGTAGTTTTGGTTAATTTTTATAGAGTCAAGTATGTCTAAATTGCCTTTTACAGCTGTATTAGCCATCCATTTCCTAGAGTTTGTGGGCTTCCTTTATTGGAGGTTTTTTACTTAATCACGTATCTGTCTCCAAGCTCTCTATTCTGTTACATGGGTCTGTTTTCCTGATCCTGCAGCAATGCCACACTATTTTTTATTACTCTATCTTTGTGATAGGTCTTAATATCTGGTAGAGTGAGTTCCTCCTCTCTAATTTTCATTTTTAAATTGACCAGCTTTTCATGATCTTTTATTATTCTAGAAATATTTTAGAGTAAGGTTACTGAGTTCCTAAAAATATCAGGTAGATTTTCATTTGAATGGAATATCTCCTATTGATTGCCTTGAATATACGACTGACTTGTGGAGAATGGATTACTATATAATATTAACACATACTATCCCAGAGGGTAGAGTGGACATTCATTTTTGGATGTTCAAATAGTCTTTAGTCATTTAATAGACCCTAGATTTTTTTCTTAGTGATCTTATGCTTACTTAGTAAAATTAACCCTGCAATACTTTTGTTGTTGTACTGAATTTTATCTTCTCTTTGGATTGAGAGAAGTTAACAAATTCATTTGGAAAATAGAAATTTCACCTTTCTTGCTAAGCTTAATCCAGGCGTTTTATATCATCATCATCATTTCTTTTATTATCTGTTCGAACTGGTGGTTATTTCTACATAGAAAAACTAATAATTTGTGCACATAAATGTTATGCCCAGGGAACACAGTAAATGCTAAAGATGGAGTCTCATATTAATAAGAAAAACAAAGATCATTTAATAAAAACTTTAGGAAGAACTGAGGATCTTAATTCAACATGCTTCTCAAGTCTTATACCAGGATAACATCCAGATGAATCAAAGATTTTAAAATGAAAAATACAGGAGTCTTAAAAGCTCTAGAGGAAGCCATGGGAAATGGTTGTATAGCTCCAGAGTAGGGGAGTTCCTATTTTTGACACAAATTAGAAGATGCATAATCAAGAGATTGATATACTGATAAATGAAAAAGATACAGGGCAGTACACATAGAGTATCATATGCTACTACATAAGTTTCTAAGATGCACAAAAGGAGCTTTGAAAGGATACAGAAAAATAAAAACTTAAGCGAACAAAAAAGTAAGGAGGGAAATGAGTATTGGTGAGCCATGGAAAGTGGTGTTTGATAATTTTCCATTTTGAGGTACTAAAAATTTAAATCATCACACAAAAAGAAGGGGATTAAAGAAAAAGAATTCATCCCCATTATGGGTTTTCAATGTTTATGGAAGTCTTCCGGTAGGTTATCTTGTGTTTTCTAAGTATAAAGTCACCATCTGCCAAAAATGACATGTTTATCCCCACATTTCATATTGCATTAATCAATTTTCCCCCTTGTCTAATTGCATTATCTAGCTTCTCTAGTGTGGTGATAAAGTAAAACAGTGGCTCTCTTCTTTGGTTTCTTACTCATTTGCCTTTTGATTTTGCTTTCTTGCCATAAGAATGCTTTTGTGCACATTTGTAAACCTTCTTATGGCTGGCTTTTGGTGGTGTATTTTGCTCAGGAAAGCTTCTAAAAATACCCAGCTAAATTTTCTCTGGTACATCTGTGATATTTTCTTTCTTTCTTTTATTTCTTAAAACCACTTCATTAAAGTAGGTTGACATACAAAAAGCTGTGCACGTTTAATATTCAAAACTAATGAGCTTGGAGGTAATTTATCCATTTGGGGTTTACTTTCTTTTAAGGAGAGGGAATCTCATGGGACACGAGGAGGGTTGGTGGAGGTGGTCCCTGTTTTTTTTCTCCCTGGGTAATTGTTGGGGTGGTTCCTTAGGGACGACTTGTCCCAGTTGCCCTTCCTGACCATGTGCATCAAGGAGAATCTGCGGCTGCACCCCCCAGTCACGATCGTCTCTCGCTGCTGTACCCAGGACATTGTACTCCCAGACGGCCGAGTCATCCCCAAAGGTGCCCACGAGGACAAGGAGGTGGGAGGATGTGGGGCGATAGGGAGTGTGAGGGGTGTGTGATTGGGAGGCTCCTGGTCAGGAAGAGGGGCCCATGGAGGGAGGACCTCTTCCTGACTCGCCCCTCCTCTCCCACAGGTGTTATCTGCCTCATCAGCATTTTTGGGACCCACCACAACCCATCCGTGTGGCCAGACCCCGAGGTGCTGCCTCCCCTGACTCCCTTCTCCTCCGTGTCCACACCCCTATGGGGCCCTGGGGAGGGTACAGGGCTCTGGCCTGGCAAATCAGAAGTCACCTCCCCCATCATACACACCTTCACCTCTCCAAAGCTGACTGTCTTGGGTGACCCCACCCAGCAGCCCTTTCTTGGCCTCCCCCCAGGTCTATGACCCCTTTCGCTTTGAGCCAGAAAACATCAAGAAGAGGTCACCTCTGGCATATATTCCCTTTTCTGCAGGGCCCAGGTGAGGCCAGCGGGCACCTGAGGTGGGCATGGGGTGGTGGGGACGGGGTCTGGGGCCGAGATCCCAAGCGTGACTGTGGGGGCAGGAAGGGGGACATGGAAAGTGGTGGCACTTCCCGGTCTCCTTCCCTGCCCTCCCCCAGGAGTGACGGGCAAGGATCTGGGGCATGAGGACTGGGCGGGGCCGAGGATGGGTCCCAGACGTGCTCAGAACCCTTTTCCCCATCTGCTGGTCCCAGTTTGGGGCTGGAGTCTGGGTCGGATTCAGGGCCTATGCGAGCCCCCGTGGGGGTACCAGGCATGGGAAGCCCCGTTCTCTGTCCCGGCTGGATGAGATGGGGGTCCCGGACCAGCATCCACGTGCAGTGGGGCGGGGATGAAGTTCCGGGGCGCAGTCAGAGCCCCCACTCCCCTCCGCAGGAACTGTATCGGGCAGACGTTTGCCATGGCCGAGATGAAGGTGGTCCTGGCGCTCACGCTGCTGCGCTTCCGCGTCCTGCCTGATGACCAGGAGCCGCGCAGGAAGCCGGAGCTCATCCTGCGCGCGGAGGGCGGACTGTGGCTGCGGGTGGAGCCGCTGAGCGGGGGCGCGCACTGAACCCCGCCCCACACCCCGCCCACCGGCCTGTGTGGGTCAGTTTCCATTTACACTTCCCAGTTTGCAGACTGCAGGAGTAAAACTGTGCTGTCACCTCCGCCCTAGCCTATCCAAGATCCGGCGGGTCGCGTGGGACCTGCGGGGGCGGAGGGAGGTCAGGGGGTGGGCAGGACTGGTGTCCCTGCGTCCAAGACCCTGACTGCCTGTGCAGTAACCACAAGGCCCCTGATCGCGAGGGGGTCCCAGCGCCCAGTGGATTTTATCCTGTGCGCATTAGGGAGCCATGGGAGGTGTTTGGGCGGGAGAGGGACCAGGGCTAAGGACGGACTTAAGGGACACATTTGAGGCTCTGAGTCACACTCTAGCCACCCTGACCTCCGTTCCAATCTTGTAATATACCCAGTGTTTTCCCACCCCTGAGTCCTTCACTGTTTCTCTGGTTACTGCATCACTGTGTGGACTTAAACATAAGCCTGGTTGCTTTATAGTTTGTGTTTGCTTATTGCGCTAACGGTATCAATTCTATTGTCTGCTGTTCTTGCTGGTTTTCACCCATAAGGGCAGCATTCTTGTGTGCCTGGTCATCTTTTCTTGGGCATTGGCCATCATCTTTGAAATACCATTTTTAGACTTTGAAGAGGACAGCTTTCTGTTAGGAGGAATCCGTGGTCAAGGATCATGTTAAGGCTGAAAGCTTCTTGTGTCCTGAGCTACTGAGGCAGCTTAAATTCAAGCTGCAGTTCAAGCCCTCTCACCCTGAGGGCTGTAGCGTTTTTGAGGCCTCCACTTAGATGAGGAGGGTCTTCTTACCATTTCTGTCCTTGTGTCACTCTAGTCCTTGATTTCTCTCCCTCCACCGTGAGGCCATCAAAACACAGCTTCACATTTTCCTGACTTGAGAAATATCTCTGGGGCAAAAAATATCACTCTTGTTCATTTTATCTGCAGGTTTCTTTTTCCATTTGAGTGGTGTGTTTGTAATTCTCTACTGTCTTTTCAGGTCATTTATTCATTTAAGAAATTGCAGAAGTGTCAGCTTTGAGAACTGTTTTTAAATGATTTCCCTCATTTGTGGAGTGTAACAACGAAGCAAAATGGAAGGACCAAAACAGCAGCAGACTCAGCCTCCAAGAAGGGACCAGCAGTTACCAAAGGGGAGGGGTGGGGAGGGCCAGTGGGGAGGGAGGGAGAAGGGGATTGAGGGGTATTATGATTGGTACACATGGTGTGGGGGGGGGCACAGGGAAGACAGTGTAGCACAGAGAAGACAAGTAGTGACTCTGTGGCATCTTACTACACTGACAGACAGCGACTTCAGTGGGGTGTGGAGGGGACTTGATAATATGGGTGAATGCAGTAACCACAATGTTTTTCATATGAAACCTTCATAAGAGTATATATCAGTGATATCTTAATAAAAAATTATTAAAAACTGAAAATTTAATCCAAATAACAGCTTGCTATTAATGGAAACAGAAAGTTTCTATTGGATTTTGAATGGTCATGATCCAGTTACTACTCCACCCACACTTTGTTGCATTAAGGGTGATGATTGCCTTAAGTGGATAGATTTCCAGACCACAAAAGCCCACATCAGGATTTAAGGGAGAGGACTGCACATCACCCAGAGATGCAGGCCTTGGGGTTGAATGGGGGAGCAAGTACACTCAGGGGTTAACATCCCGGGGGATGCTGTGAGTGTGTTCCTGTTATAGGAAGAAGGGTATACATCAGATGTGTGGTAGTCAATAATGTTTTGATTGCGGACTGTGTAGAGATGGCTATTGTGTATCCTGATACCCAGTTTAGCTTTCTTAGAATTCCTGATTTTTAGCTAGGTGCATGGCCGGCTGAAATACAGATAACATTCAAAAGCTTTTCTTGAAGCTAGAGTGGTTATATGACTGTACCTTGTTTCATATGGAAAAATCCAAGTTACATGGCAGGTCTGGAAACCTTCCTGAAGAGAAACCAGGACACCCTGGTTGCCCAGCCTTCCGCCTGCTTCCTCTGTGCTTCTTGTGATATTGACCTGGTAGTTGGAGCTCCATCTCGGATTACGAGGGGAAGACAGTTCTCTAGGAAAGGTGGGGCAGACAGCTAAAGGCAGTCAGGGTGAGAGGTCCCTGGACCCACTGCACCCTGGGCTTGTACTACCAAGGTCGCAACCCTGGTTTGCTATTTACTAGCTGTCTGGCTCAAGGAAACTCCTTCTCCCTCTATACCTGAGTTCCTCTACCATATAGTGGTAGTTAGCTTACTGCACTGTTGGGGAGACCAACTTAGCAAGCATGGGCAACGTTACTGAGTCAGTAACAAACATCAGTACTCAGTGAGTGTTCGTTCACTTTCTCCTTTCTTTTTGCATCACGTTCTAGTGTAAAATGCTTGAAAGTCATAACAGTGAGATTTAAGTTTTGGGAAATGTGGCCTTGTAGGGAAAATGGAAGTTCCATGGCCAGGATCCTCACCTGATCGTAATGTACTCACCCACTGTGCACTTGCAATGATGTACTACTTGGCCTTCTGCATAGGTATGCTTGCACACTTGTTGGCAATAAGCCATTATTGCCTGTGTTGCTGTATAAAGAGCTCCACCCAGTGCTCAGGGCAGAGCCTGAAAAGGGGGCAGAGATGGAGATGGACTTTCTGGATGCAGATGTGACTCTAGTGTTCCACCTGCCATCATGAGAATAAAGCTTGGTATAAGACCTTTTACCCCCAGAATGTTCTGTTGTTGTAAGTCATCTCATCTAATCTAGAGTAATCTTGCCTGGTGCTGGGAACCCCCTCCGGCCTGGATGTACAGGTGCTCTGCTGTAGAAAAAACTATCATTAGAAAATTCCATGGGTTCTAAATACCCATAGTTAAATCTGAGAATTACAAGGGCTTTTAATGTGAAGCTGGCCAGAAGCTAGGTACTGGAACAAAAATTTTTTTCCCTTCTTGAAAGGCATGACCCGCTTCATTTGTGCCTAGATATTCCAGGAACAGGAGGTCACATGGGTCCGTTATAGTGGGAGGAAATTTGAACTGCCTCCTTCAGCACCAGGGACAGCAGCTGCCATGGACTTGGTCCTTTCAGGATGTTGGACACATTGGAATATACAGTCCAAGTCTCAGAACCTTACAATGGCCCACAGCTGGGGGCCCAAGAGGCTTCCTCACTGCAAAATAAGAAAAGAACACTGCAACATGAAGTAAATAAATAATATATTGCAAGATGAAAGTGACACTTGTTATTCTTTGCCTTTAGAGTTCTTATTTAAAATATTCTTATTCTGCAAATTATACATCTTCATAGAAGAAAATGCCACAAGAAAAAGTAAGAAATAAAAATTGTATCCATATCCACTATTCAAGAATGTCAAAATAATTACTGTTCATATCCTCTCACATATACTTCCATTTTGTTTATATGTAATCCTTATACAAGTAAAAATTTTAATTTATATCAAAATGTATTACATTAACATGTAATCTTCTGTTTAAAAATGCTAGTTTACTGGCTAAAACACATGGGAAAGGATGCTCAACATCAGTAGTCATTGGAAAAATGCAGATCAATGCCAATATATGATACCACTTCACACCCAGTAGGATAGAAATAATCTAAAACAGAGAATATGACAAGTATTATAGGAGGAGGAATGACTGGAACACTGATACATTGCTGGCAGGAATGTACAGTGGTGCAGCCACTGATGAAAACAGTTTGGTGGTTCCCCAAATAGTTAAACTTAAAATTATTTTACAACCCAGCATCCCATGCTTAGGTATATACCCAAAAGAATTGAAAACAGGTGTTCAAACAACAATTTGTACATGAATGTTCATAGTGGCACTAGTCACAATGGCCAGAAGTTGGATGTTTGGGAAACAATCCAAATATCCATTAACAGATGAATGGCTAAATTAAATATAGTGTATCTATGACAACAAATACTTTTTTCTTTTCATGTAAGTACCTTTTTATTGAACATATTTGACATATAACACTGTGTAAATTTAAGGTGTACAACTTGTTAATTTGATACCTTTACATATTACAATATGATTGCTGTTGCAGCGATATTTAGCACCCCATCCCATTACATAGTTATCCTTTCTTTTTAGTGGTTGGGATAAGAAACATGGGTGGAAAAGAAGACCAAAATGAGCAGCCTGAATATTCCCAGGACTTGTTTAAAACATTGTATGTAATTAAAGTGTATTGATATTTCAATATATGTATACACTGTGATTGCTGTTTGGGTAGTCGCTGCAATCAAGCTAATCAGTATATCATTCTTAATTTTGATAACATCAGTAAAAGTTCCCAGTAATAAAAATAGTTTTCCATGTCGCAAATGCCAGGTATGTTCTCCTTGGACATCCACCCACTGTTGATGTTCTTATTTCTGGCCTTAGAACTGCCTGACAATGGACAGTTGGACCCAGGTCTCTGAATTCATCCCCCTTGGCCTCCCGGAGTGGCCCTTGCAGCAGGTGTCCTTCACTGTCTCTTTCAGCCTGTATGTGATTGGGTGCTTGGGGAATCTGCTGTCCATCCTGGCCATCCTCTCGGACCCTCACATGCACAGTCCCATGTACTTTTTTCTTAGCAGCTTGTCTCCTCTTGATATCTGCTTTACCTCCACCACCATCTCCAAGATGGTGATGAACCACCTGTGTGGACACACTACCATCTCCTCTGCAGCTTGCCTGGCTCAGATGTATTTCTTCATTGCCTTTGGGGCAGCCAACAGCATCCTTCTCTCAGCCATGGCTTATGACTGCTACCTGGCCGTCTGCTGTCCGCTGCACTATGCCACGATCATGAGCGTCCTTCGGTGTGCCTTCCTTGTGGTAGTGCCCTGGATCTCAGCCAACCTCATCGCTATGGTCTGTACCTTCCTGAGGGCCCGCTGATCCTTCTGCACCAACTGGATCCCACACTTCTTCTGTGACCTCGATGCCTTGATCCAGTTCTCCTGTTCTGACACTCAAGTCAGTGAGATGCTGGTGTTGGTGCTCGGGGGCTCAGTGGTTCTGATCCCTTCTGTGGACATGTGGCCTCTTACACACCTATTGCCATGGCTGTGTGGAAGGTGCCCTCGGTCCAGGGGAAGTGGAGAGCATTCTCCACCTGTGGCCCTCACCTTTGTGTTGTCTCTGTCTTCTATGGGCCTATCATTGGGGTTTACTTCAGCCCTGCATCCACACACACCACCCACAGGGACATGGCAGCCACAGTGATGTATACCATGGTGGCCCCGTGCTGAACCCCTTCATCTACAGCCTGCAGAACCGAGACCTGAAGGGGACCCTGGGGAGACTTCTCAGTGGGAATCTTTTCTAAGCCTTTTTGAAGATTCTTTTAAGACCCAGTTCCTTTTGAAAAGAACTAATGTATCCCAATGTTAGAACTCAGGTGATTTTTCCTTTTTCTTTTAAAGGTAGAAATAAAATTTTTACTATCTGCTTAAGTACTTTATTTTTTATTGAATCTATTTGACATACCATTATGAAAATTTAAGGTGTACAATGTGTTAATTTGATAGCTTTATATATTGTAATATGATTGCCATTGCAGTGATATTTAGCACTGCTGTCCCATTACATAATTATCCTTTCTTTTTAGTGGTTGAGATAAGTTTTAGTCTCTTAGCAAGTTTGATGATTGTATTACAGTATTGTTGTCCATATTCCTTATACTGTGCATTAGATCTCTATGTCTTATTTACTACTCATTGCACGTTTTTAACCTTAAACATCAAACTTACTCCCCACCTTCTATTCCCTGGTAACTACCATTCTCACTTAGCATAATATGCTAAATGTCCACTCATGTTGTTACAAATGGCAGGATATCCTCTTTTCTCATGGCTGAATAATATTCATATATATATATATATATATCACCTTTTTAAAATTAAAGTATCATTGATATGCAATCTTATGAAGATTTCACATGACAACATTGTGGTTTCAACATTCACCCATATTATCAAGTCCCCCCCCCATTGCAGTCACTGTCCATCAGTGTAGCAAGAAGCTATCGAGTCACTACTTGTCCTGTGTGTGCTGTACTGCCTTCCCCGTGACCTACCTACACTGTGACTGCTGATTGTAGTGCCCCTGAATCCCCCTCTCCCTCTCTCCCCACCATCTTTT